CAGGAAGACCAAGGCACGGCTGGGGCCGAACTTGGCAAAGGATGCAAAGAAAAATAAGAAGAACTTCTACAGGTATGTTAGCCAGAAAGGGAAGGTCAAAGAAGGTGTACCCCCCTTGATGAACAAGACTGGCAGACTGGTAACAAGGGATGAGGAGAAGGCTGAGGTGCTCAGTGACTTCTTTGCCTTAGTCTTCACTGGCAGTCTCTCTTCCCACACCTCTCAAGGGGATGGACTGCAAGACAGGGACTGGAGGAACCAAGTTCCTCTCACAGGGAGAGAAGATCAGGTTTGAGACCACCTGAGGAACCTGAACATACCCAAGTCTATGGGACCTGACGAGAATCATCCCAGAGTCCTGGGGGAGTTGGCTGGTGTAGTTACAAAGCCACTCTCCACAGTATTTGAAAAGTCCTGGCAGTCAGGTTAAGTCCCTGCAAACTGCAGAAAGGGAAACAGTACACCCATTTTTAAAAGAGTAGCACGGAGGACCTTGGGAACTACCGATCTGTCAGCCTCACCTCTGCGCCTGGGAAGATCATGGAACAGATCATCCTGGAAGCTATGCTAAGGCACATGGAGAACAGAGAGGCGATTTGAGACAGCCAGCATGGCTTCACCAAGGGCAAGTCCTGCCTGACCAACCTAGTCGCCTTCTATGATGGAGTGACTGCGTCAGTGGACAAGGGAAGGGCTACAGATATTGTCTGTCTGGACTTCTGTAAGGCCTTTGACATGGTCCCACCCAACATCCTTTTTTGTAAATTGGAGAGAGATGGATTTGATGGGTGGACTGTTGGGTGGATGAGGAATTGGTTGGATGGTTGCATCCAGAGGGTAGTGGTCAATGGCTCAATGTCCAGATGCAGATTGGTGATGAACAGTGTCCCTCAGGTGTCCATATTGTGACCAGTACTCCTCAATATCTTCATCAGTGACATAGTGGGATCAAGTGCACCCTTAGCAAGTTTGCAGATGACACCAAGCTGAGTAGTGCAGTTGACATGCCTGAGGTCCAGGATTACATCCAGAGTGACCTGGACAAGCTCAAGGAATGGGCCCATGTGAACCTCATGATGTTCAACAAGGCCAAGCGCAGGGTCCTGCACCCGGGTCGGGGCAGTACAGGCTGAGGGACGAAGGCATTGAGAGCGGCTGTGCCCAGGAGGACCTAGGGGTACTGGTGGATGAAAAGGTGGACATGAGCCAGTAATGTCTGCTTGCAGCCCAGAAGGGATTTGGAATCTCTGTTTCATAACTGCTGCTGGAGTCCCCCAATTCCTTTTAGGCTGGCCTTAGAGTGAATAGCCCAGTCATCTCCTCTGACACCTTACCCCGGTTCCCCACAATTGGGATGGTTAGGGCATCCAGCATCAGACTTTTCAACTAGAAGATAAAAAGGGAAATGTAGAGCTTCAGAGAGTTTCTTTGTCAATCTGTATCTTAGTGACATGCTTGACAGTTAAGCTGCATGTCTAAGGCAGCAGAAACAAGGGAGTGATAACCCTGTCCTCTGAATGTTTCAGCTTTATGCAGTGAACTGTGGCAAAGAGGAGTCAGGTGCTTTCCCAAACAAGAATGTGATAGCTGTGTTTGGCTTCAGAAGATGAATTGTAATGGTAGTTTTTAGCTGTAGAGCTCAGTGTTTTTGTTTGATGAATACCAAAACTGCAGTGTTTTAAGTCAGTGTGGTAAAAGCTCTGGGAGCTGAGATTTCATGGTGACCTCTGTCCCTTCCTCATGAAAATGCTGAGGCTTTGCTTTCTCAGAGCCCTTGAACAGTCCTGTAGCCTTTAGCTCCCATAAGACAAAATACTACAATTTGTCCACTAGATCTTGTTTATAGCTCGATGCTACGAAATACTAAATCATCAGAGTTAAATAGCTCTGCATTCTGGTAGGCAGAAACACACAATGAAGAAGGAAGCAATCGCACGTGAAGTTCATAAGATACAGGCTTCTGGCTTGTTACCGTGGTGATTTGCCCTGAGTTATGTGGTAAATCTGAAAATTGAATAAATATAAATTTACATTGCCAAGGCCACTTTTTTTTTTAAAAAAAGAGTGGTTTTTCCTCATGTTTTTCTTACTGAACTAAGATATGCTTACATTGATCAGGAAGGGGAGAAGGAGGGGGACTGATTTCCTGGATTTTTTTTACATTAACCTGTTGCACAGAATGTTATAAAAATATTTGGGGGTTTTGGGGTTTTTCTGTTTCTGTTTTTTACAGACAAGAGGTGCTGCATTTTTCATCATAGCTGTCATCTGCTTACTACTTTTTGATAATGATGACCTCATGGCTAAAATAGCAGAACATCGTATCCTTTTTTGCTATGTGTAAGAGCAAGTGCCTGTTATTACTCTAGCAGACAGAATGTGAGTTGAATGCACTTTTTATTAATAGGAATCTTACCTTTCAAGAATATTATGGCGTAAGATTTTACTTGACATCTAAACACTAATATTTATAGCCAAATGGATGGCATTGCTTACTTTGTTGGTAATTTAGGGCACAGCTATACATTTTAAGTTGTAGTTAAAGGATCCCTGCCCATTTGCACATATCAGAAGTTAGGATTGCTAGAAGCTTTTTTGATCAGCTCTCATTTTTTTTAAATTCTAGACATAATGGTTGTAGCCTAAGTGTGTGCAGTAAATGGTCGACAGCCTGGCTGGCAGTCTTTTTCGTATATCCAAAAGATTGTTTTGTGCTTTTGCAAATATGGTAATCTCACTTCATCTGCTAAGCTGAAAAGTGATTTGAAATTGCCTGCAGTAGCTTCAATGACAATGGACTTTAAACTGCAAATGTAAGGTAGCTAACATGCTTTCAAAGCCACTGAGTTACTTGGAAGTGATTCTGAAGTAAGTTTTCAATAGAACTTCTCATCATAGTGCAGTGTACTGACAAAAAGCGGTACATCTAAGGATGGGCAGTAAAAACAAAGTGAAAGTAAACTATATCAACTAAGGATGAAAACATGGAAACGCAGATGCAAATGGTATATTCAGGAATAGTATTGATGAATCCACTGAGTTTTCAGTGAGTAAATTACTTGTTAAAGTGCTCTCTAGTAGTTTTCCCAAAATATGTCATTACTCTAATATTTTCTGGATTGTGCTTGTCAATTACTCTTTGTTTAAATATTTAGAAACTGGAAAGATGTAGATAATAATCTAGACACTGTTTAAGTGCTTTTAGTGAAAATCAATTTAATTTTTAATGCTGTTGAGAATATTTTTTTGAAGTCTGGTTGCCAAAATTAACATAAGTCCTGTATCATGACTACTGTGTGGTATTTAACAGTTTCTGTGTTCTCATGTTTTAAAATGCTTTTTTTTTCCGCCAAATATGTTTAACTAATTCATTTTCTGGGGAAATATTTTCATCTTTCCTAAATTTTAAGGATCTGATGAACCTCCTTAAAGCTCAGTTTGCTTAATTCTGCTTCCCATGGTCTTCTGCTACATCTACCTGTTCTTAAGTTTTGGGGTTTTTTTAAATAATCATCAAATTAAGCTCTTCCTTAATTATTTTCTTTATTTAGCTGAGGGGCATCATGACAGTGCTCTTACCCATGTTCTGTATACAATTATTGCATTCCTGGGTGTTGCAGATCACAAGGTAAAGAACTTATATTTTAGTAGGTTAATATTTATCCAAGTTTTGTAGGTAAGAATTTCAAAAGCCTAGAGTTAATCCAAGCCTAAATCAAAACAAAGAAGTTCAACATCCCAACCCCATATTGAAACTGAACTAGCACTGTAATTTTTTCACTGTGATTGAGTACAAGCAGCTTCAGTACAGCAAGGCAAACCATACAATATTCAACTTGTATAGCTAATAAGGACTTTGCTGTAATATGTAACCTAAAAAGTCTCATTAAAATTATCATTAAGTACTCCATGTCATTAGTGTTCTGGATGTTCGTAATGCTTTGCATACAGTACATTCCTTGCTCACTTTTGGGGTCTGTGCTTTGTTGCTGCCTCCTTATCTTTCCCCAGTCTTTCCTTTACATTAGACGCTTGTATTTGAAGACACAGATTCTGATACTTCTCAGTAGTATAGTCCCATTATAATTGGTGGCATGAATAACTGAGTATCAAAATCTTACTGTATGGGATTGACCTGGCTGATTGAATTGTTCTGTTAGCTTAGTCTTGTTGCTAAATTGGCTGCACTGAGGACAGGAAAAAAAATGGAGCAGCTGAGAAAGTATTAATATAAAAATAAATCAAATGTTAGAGAGACTGGTTAACTGGGCACAAAGCAAGTGTGATGTAAGGGAGATGAGATGCTGTGTGTGTATCTTGTGATTCATTTATAGAACAATTTTGAAAGAAAATATTGTGAAGAAATGTGGTATGGTGCAATTTAAGGTAAGTGAATGAAAAGGTTATGAAAGGATTAGTGGACAAGGTGACATGACACTTTTGGGGATTATGTATACTTTCAACTCTTTTTTAAAAATGGAAAAACCCAGTTTTGTGTGTTTTTTCTTTTTCCTTGTACCCTGTTCACTACCAGTTCGCTTCTGTAATATGTGTATGCCAGTTAACACTACTGAGAGTTTTAAACATCAGGTGATACTAGGCTGTTGTGAATAGTGCTGAGATATAACCATGTATGCTATATTACTGTTTTTGACTAGAGTAACAATTAGAGGAAATATCCTGTCTTTCGTTTTTGTTGATAAGTTAAGGAAAGCATATTAATCTTTTTTCATGTAAGTGTCACTTTGTTTGGAGTGAGGTATTTGGCTCTCAAGAAATGCTAATGGGATCCCTTTGTTTCTAGGGAGGAGTACTGCTTCTGGTACTGGCATTGTGCTGTAAGGTTGGTTTTCACATGGCTTCCCGAAAACTATCTGTAGATGTAGGTGGAGCCAAGCGTCTTCAAGCTTTGTCTCATCTTGTTTCTGTCCTTCTGTTGTGCCCATGGGTCATTGTTCTCTCTCTGACAACAGAGGTAAGATAGCAAGTATAAAAAGAAACCATTTTTTGTAATGCTTCTGCTTGTGAAGTGCAATTTAAATCTTTCCTTTAAAATATCTTTAAAACTACAAAAGTTGCCATCTTTCTTCTTCTAGTAAGCTCTGTTTGAAATTTTGCCTCTTACGTTTTGACATATATCCACATGATCCCTTAATTTCCTCTTTTGTGTGATAACTATTTATTAGCTAACTATTTATTTCATCTTTCTAGCGCAAATATTATGTCCTGGATTCATATACTAACATTGTACACATATTAATGACTGTAGAAATACAGGGCTCTTTTATTCCTGAGGAGTAGATTACTATGATTTAAAGACATGTTCATTATGCCTGCATGCTTACGGGGAGTAGACCATTGCAAACATGGTGTTGAATATGGCATTGCTTTTAAACATGTGAAAGTATTTAAAATAAGATAACTGTAGTGCATATTAGCTGAATGTGTCTTTCTATAGCTGGAATGTCGGTTTTAAAGTATTTATATTTTGATGGATTGCTGAAACCATTTGTGGTGAAAGTGAACTAGATTTAATGGTATATAGACAATCATATCTAATGGTGAACAATCCTGTTTGAAATGTATTTTTTGTTGCAGAGTAAAGTAGAGTCTTGGTCTTCTCTCATCATGCCTTTCATGACAGTGATCTTTTTTGTTGTGATCCTGGATTTCTACGTGGAATCCATATGCTCTGTCAAGATGGAAGCTTCCACGTGTGCTCGATATGGATCCTTGCTTATTTTCATTAGTGCACTGCTTTTTGGCAACTTTTGGACACATCCAATAACAGACCAGCTTCGAGCTATGAACAAGCCACCACACCATGAAAGCACAGAGCACGTTCTTTCTGGAGGGGTGGTAGTGAGCGCTGTCTTCTTCATTTTATGTACGTATTCTTATTTATCTTTTAATAGATCTGTTGTCTGTGTGACTGCGAAGCCAATCAGCAAGTAGATGTGTGCAGAATTATTTTGGATAAGATTTTATGGATTCTTTTGAATAAAAACGGCCTGTAACTTTGTGCTCTTTTACTGCCTGTCTACAAAAAAAAGAGAATGTAATAGATCTGCTCTGTTGTGGAAGTGATGATCTAATCTTACATAGCAATGAAATCTAATGATGAACCTCAGGATGAAGTTGACAATCACTTTGCTGCCTGCAAATTCCATGTAAGCTTTGATTGCTGATAAAAGGCATTATAAAATAGCTATGAAGCTTAGAAACAGCAACAAAAACCTCAATACTTTCCTTGCAGCTGCCAATATCCTGTCCTCCCCCTCCAGGAAAGGGCAGAAGGGTACCCTTATTGGCTATTCACCTGAAGGCACTCCTCTCTATAACTTCATGGGTGATGCATTACAGCAGAGCTCTCAATCGTTACCCCGGTTTATTAAGGAGTCACTGAAACAAATCCTTGAGGAGTATGATTCTAGGCAGATCTTCTATTTCTTGTGCCTAAATCTGGTGAGTGCATGGTTTTTTTCAGATGCAATCACAGTAGTACATATATACTAGAGTAAAAAGAGTTATTCTTTAAAAGGTTCCTATGATTGATTGTTTTTAAATTGACCTTTGATACAAGTAGCTTCATTAGATGGAATATTAAAATAGAAGATTCTTATGCTAATCTTACAGTAAGTGGCAAGTCACTTTGATTTGTTGTCACAGTGTGGCACTGGTTTTGTGTGTAGCTATTATACCAGTAAGTAAATACTTGTATGATGTTATATTGAAGATTGAGGTATCTCAAAGTTACGAGCAGATAAGCTGAAATTTAGGAGGCTGAAACTTCAAGGATGGGGACAACAAAATAGTAAGTGTGGGATTGAGTAGTGTCATTTTGGAGTAGGCCGGTTTTACTTCTAGCGTCTCTCTTTCTCCAATGGGAAAAGGTCATGCAGTAAGCAACATTGGTAGAACCTCATTTGCAAAGATCTCTCTCTTCATTCTTTGGCAACTATCTAAGAAAATAGGCGGAGAAAATTTAAGTATCCGTAATAACTCTAAGGAATTCCATTATGGAATATGAAAGATGGTAAAGAAAGTTTATAGGCAGACCCATTAATAATAATAAATCATACAGGGAAAAATGTATGTATTAAAAATGTTTCCTTGTGTACCCTTCTGAAAACTAGTTCACAAGGTTTAAACAGTCATCTAATTGGTGAAGAAAATTTTTACAGAACAGATGTATAGACAGTGTTTTTACACTAATAATAGATCAGACTGTTACATTGTTTAATGACAAACTGCTTAAAACTTTTTCTGCATAATGTAACTTCAAAATTCTAAATGAAAACTTAAATCTACTCCTATAGGGGGTTGTTTTCATAGGTCTAAGGCGTTTGGGAGGGTAGACTCAAAAATGTCTCTTCATAGACTTGGAAATGAAACTTTTTTTTGTTTGAGGAGAGAGAAAATGGTCTAGAAATACTTGGAACAATACCTTTGAAAACTATCAAGTGTCCTCTGAAAAAGAGTTCCCTGCTAGCTACCAACACATCAAATTACAGGTTAATGTTCGAGGAAAAATTCAAACTCTCTTTCATTTTAGGCTTTCACATTTGTGGAGCTCTTTTATGGAGTGTGGACCAATAGCCTTGGTCTTATTTCTGATGGATTTCACATGCTTTTTGATTGTTCTGCATTAGTGATGGGGCTTTTTGCAGCTCTGATGACAAGATGGAAAGCAACTCGCATATTTTCTTATGGGTATGTATATTAGGTTCTTTAAGGACTATCTGACAATTATTGTACTTGCTTATTTTCAAAATGCCCTGCTATAAAGGTATGTTGGAGATGTTTTAATCGTGCATGCTTCTGTGGATTTTTTGCTATGTCTCTTTTCTGTTCTGTGTGCGTTCATGCTACTCCTCTCTTAGGCCAGCAAAAAAGGGTCTGAAATGTAATTTTCATTTATCTCCACAGATAAAACTTTATCACCATGAGCATCATGTAGAAAATGCCTCATTGTGTGTATATATATCTGTATGTCAAACGAAAAGATATGTTGAAAGTCAGTGTTTATATGAGGATTTCAATTGTGCTGACACAATCAAAGTTCATATGGTTAAATTGCTTAGCAGTTTAACAGTTTGAAGCCCTGAATGTGTACTATATATAAAAAAATATTTACATTATTGTACCTTTACACTGTTGGTGTTTGGACAGTTGCAAACTAGCTACTTCTTGGTCAGAAATAAATAACCCAGAAATTAAGGCATGGTTTTGTGTCAGTGAGGAAAAAATCACAGCAATCTTAAAGCTACATTAAATGTATTATAACTTTATTTATGATAACTTTGAAATTTGTTCAGAGTTCTTCACTCTCCAAAGTACCTGTGTTTGCTTTCAGGTATGGACGTGTAGAAATTCTCTCTGGATTTATTAATGGCCTCTTTCTGATGGTAATTGCTTTCTTTGTCTTCATGGAATCAGTGGCCAGACTGGTGGATCCTCCAGACATAGATACAAATATGCTAACTGTAAGTTTTGTCATTCTGTTTGAACACTGTTTGGCAGTTAATGGTTCATTTATGTTTGTCTTAATTTAAAAAAAGAAAAAGCTAAGGAGACTAAAGTTGCCTACTAGAGATCGAAACTGTGCCTTGACTTTTTAACATATTCTAATTCTAAAATCGAAACTACATCTAGTTTTAAAATGTGAAAATATATAAGGGTGAATATAATTTAATTATACAGTTAAATTGAATTTTTTTCTAAGTTGTTACAGCTCCGATCTTTTTAGACGGTGGCCTTTCTACCATAAAAGGTACTAAGGAAATAATCTGTACAAGACTGAATTTGGTTCTGCTGCTATGTATACCAATGCCAATTATTACAAAAAAGATTTTGTATTAGTCTCTGAGAAACCTCAAAAATCAGCCAGAATTTGTAACATTATGCTGAGTTTGTTACTATGGCATAAACAATCATGAAGCTGTGCATAGCTAATCTTAACTATACCTGTGTCTCTCTACCTTCCACAGTCTCTTTAGGGACTCCCCACTTAAATTTTCAAGCTTCCATCCCTTTCTTTCAAACGCAATAGCTCATTTTCTTCAAACTAAATTTTTTTTATTATGGAATTCTGCAAATCCAAGCCTTCATTTATCATTTGTTTACTCCCAAACACACGCACACACGAATTTGTGCTCTCCTCTCTTCAGTAACAAAGAGAAAGATTTTTATGTAGGCCTAATTAGAAATGTGCATTGCTGGAATCAAGGCCGTGGGACGGGAGGGTTGGGTTTTTTGGGTTTTTTTGGGTTTTTTTCATTTTAATGTTCAATATTTGCTCCATTTTCACTACTGATTTTGTTTTTTGAGGGTAGGAGGGGTTACCCCTCTACATGACCACAGTCTGCATAGCCAAGAAAAGGTCTAATAACCCCTGAGTAAGACTTACTTAACTCCTTTATTAGCTTTTTTTACTCTTAAATTACTACTCTTAAAGCTTTGCTAGCTTTTTGAGAGAAGAGTAGAAGAATAGGCAGACTGATAAAAAGCACAACTCAACCAATAAAGCAGTAGTTACTGTCTTAAGTACGATTTTAGAGGAGTGTGTGTGTCCTAGATACAATATACTTTTTCTTTTTTTCTGATGAAAGCAAAACAAGTCTTGTATTCAAACTACTTTATCTCTTTTTGAAAGTAAATAAAATCAATCACCACATCTTAAAACTAAATTTGTTATCTTGTCCTGATTTGTGGATATGAGATTTTGCATTTCGGTGATGGTTTTTGGGTGGAGTTTTTAGGGAAGGCTGGGGATAATTGGATTTTTTTGAGAGGGGAAGAGAACTCCTTTGAAACCAGCGTGTATACTGAAAGGAATATGATGAGGAATCCACTTTAGAATAATCCTTCTGTTTGATGCTAATGCTTCCACAGTTTTCCTTCATTAGGTGCTCAGTGTTTCTGATTACCTTGTCTAGAAAATAAACTTGAATACCTGGGAAGACAGTGATGTTAAAGACTTTTCTCCCTCTCACAGCCAGTCTCTGTTGGAGGGCTGATCGTAAACCTTGTTGGTATCTGTGCCTTTAGCCACGCGCACTCCCATGGGTCTTCTCGAGGAGGTTGTCACTCACACGATCACAGCCATTCTCACCATGGGCACAGCCACAGCCATGGGCACGGCCATTCCCACAGTGACCATGGGCACAGCCATGGACATTCCCATGTGTCTATTGGAGGAGGCATGAATACGAACATGAGAGGCAAGTACAGATTGTTGCATTGTAAATGATGTATGTGATTTCCTGCAGACTTTGAAGATTTTCAGAATCAGACCCCATACAATGCCTCATTCTTAAAATCTGCAGGAGTGATCTGACAGCTGTTTGATGTAGTATACGTCAATTTCTCAAACAGTTTCTTCATTAATGAGTTTAACTTAAGAAACATAACTTGAAATTTTTCTTTGCATGGCTTCCTTAGATGTGGGTAATACCTAAGGACCAATAAAAAGCATTAATCTATAGTCTTCATTAACATTAATAAACACTCATTGGAAACCTTATTGAAAGAGCTTAAAGACCGTGGTTGTAAGTTCCATCTGGAAATGAAAGTACAAGATCTCTATCTATGAAGATACTACTTGTGCTTCTAGGTATCATGTGACAGCTGGTTGTAAAAACAATGGGGGAGGGGATAAGAAGCAGAAGAACAAATGCAGACCAGCTATCTAGAATGTGCTTCTATCTGTGATTCAGAAGATAAGGTGGTAAAGATTAAACTTTCAAATCTCAAATCAGAAGCTAACCAAGAAGGGTAATATGTATGAAATTTCAGCATAGCTACTTCTTATCATTTTCCCTCTAGTAGTTAGAAGGTGGTTATTTACTAACTGCCTGGCTTATAAATTTTTATATTTATAAATCTATTTAAGTCTATTTATAAATATATTTAAATCTGTAATGGAATGAGTTTTTTGTGTAAGCTTGTCAGAGCATACGCTTTTTAGCTAACAGTCTCATGTTTCATTGGTTATTTTATGTCCTAATTCAATTGGCTATTCTGTTGTCTGGCATTTTTTTGAAGTCTGCCTATACACTGCACTATTTCAATATTCTTTCAAATCCTGACACTTAACTAGCACTAATTTTACAAATGGTTAGAGGTTATTTTTCTGTGTCCTTTGAGTGCACACTGAGAATGCTACCCACCATTAAAGCCATAAAAGGGATTATTCCTAGCAGTAGCAGATAGTCTTATAAATTGGAGCAGAGTTGGCATAGAAAAACCAAATGATATGTTAAGCTCTGTCCACATTAGCAGGCCAAAGCATTTACACCGATCTTTTTATCCTTTGTTAAGGATCAATCAGTCCCCCTATATGGAGTTAAATATTTATGCTATATAGTACAAATCCCACTAACAATTTAAAGACTATTCATGTTTGGTTTAATCTGCAAATGCCTGCCTAGATCATTGCACTGTAGAGTAAAAACGTTTTGGTTTTTTACATTGATTTGTAATTAAACATCAGAATCAAATGGTTTTATTAATTTTGCACCCAGTGAGGCATATACTTGCCTCTGTTTAGCTTGATCAGTGTTTTTTATATTGAATAAACCCTACTGTGTTTCTGTTACTGGACATATATGTACATTTTAAACAGAATTATTCAACTTAATCACTCAGTTTATTTTATTTTCAGGTGTGTTTCTGCATGTGTTAGCAGACACTCTTGGAAGTGTTGGTGTTATCGTATCCACGATATTTATTCAGCAATTTGGATGGCTCATAGCTGATCCGCTCTGCTCTCTTTTTATTGCTACATTGATTTTTCTTAGTGTTATCCCACTACTGAAAGATGCCTGTCAGGTGCTTTTGTTGAGGATACCTCCAGAACAGGAGAAGGATCTGCATGCTGCTTTAGAAAAGGTCAGAACTACAATTCTAAATGTTTTGTATACAAACATACAAAGCTATAACTTTTTAATAATTATTAAACTCAAGTAGTTCAGTCTGACAGCTTCCATTGTCTTAGACAACTTCATTAAATATATATTATGGAGAGGTGTGATAGGATTAGGAGTTCTACTGATTGAAGTTGTTTCACAACTGAAAATACTTGTAGTGTTTTTTGCTCTTATGGGTAGCTCATGATTTAGGACAAGTATGGTAACGGTATGGGAAAGGTACTTAGTACTAAGTAACGCAGCAACTCCTAAAAGCTTGTGGCCTTTATAAATTTGATGTGTACAGTCCAGGCCACAGGATTATATCTTGAGCCTGTCATTGAAGGTTTTACTTGTCCGTATCATGAAGAGCATGCTGGTTCATAGTAGGTGAGATGGCAAAAGTAAAGCTGTTTTTTTCTAAATACTTTTTCATTCTAGTCCATTCTCTTCCTGTCTGCTACAGTACGGTATCTACTTTGAGGCTGTACTTCATCTTCACTATTGGCTCATTTGAAGTTCTTGCCCAGAATCATAGTGTAGACCTCAATGTGGAGAACTCCTCTCTGTCAGAAGAACTAGTTACGTGTTCTTTGAGGATGCCATCAACTAAAGGTGGCAAGGAAGACTTACCCTGATAGTGCCCTGTCAACTAGTAGAGGGGGAGATGTGTTCTTGTCTACATGAGAAAGCAAAGAATAAATGGAAATTGGTTGGGAGAGACTTGCATAATAAAAGGAAAGTCAGGTGCAGAGTGGGGTGTCACTTTTTGATGAGGGAAGACAGAAAACAATTCTGGGACACTGAGGAAGAAGAAACTACTTCTTGAAAACAATGAAAGAGAAGTTCATTAAAAGATAATAGGAAAAGCATTTTTTTTTAAATACATCACAATAAAACAATATGCTTGCTGTAGGTTGACCCCAGCCAGCAGCCAGGCATCCACACAACCACTTGTTCACTCCCTACTTTACCACCACCACTGCCAGTGGGACAAGGGAGAGAACAGGAAAAGCAAAAGCAAGAAAAATCTGGGAGCAATGTAAAAGCAGTTTAAAAGCAAAAGGAGAGAGAGGAAAAAAAAATGACCACTGCACCACCTTCCACAAGCAGACCGATGCTCAGACAGTCTCTGAGCAGCAGCCACCTTGGAAGCCAAAAACCCTTTCCTTCCTCTACCCCAGTATTTATTGCTGAGCATGATATACGGCATGCAATAGCCTCTGGCCAGCTTGGATCAGCTGTTCCAGCTGTGTCCTCTCCCAGCTTCTTGCCCACCCCCAGCCTACTCACTGGGATGAGGGCAGAGTGGGGAAAAAAGAAAAGCCCTGGCAGTGCCCAAGTACTGTTCAGAAACAGCCAAAACCCTTTGTGTGTTATCAAAACTTTTAGCCACAAGTCCAAAACAGTGCACCTTACCAGCTGCTGTGAAAAAAGTTAAATCCATCCCATCCAGCCCCAGTAAAAAGATCTATTTCAAAATATGATAAATTATGGGAAGATACTGTGTCTCTGAATTAAGTCCAGGTATGGTAACTAAATAGCTGCTTATCCTGGATAGTGAGTTAACAGGCCCAGCCAACTTTCAGATTGGTCTGTCCATTGATGTTACTGTGATCTGCACAGTAAGTCAGTTTTTTCTCATCCTATTTAGCAGTGCACTCTGCTGTCTTTTTCGTTTAGTTTGACTTTTAGCTTCCAGTCTTTGACAATAGTAGCAATGTGATTATCCTGTTTTCAGCTGGGATAGAGTAAATTTTCTTCATACAAAGAAAAACCACAACAGTCTTCTTTCAATACTACATATTTCTGTATACAGCTTAGCTGGAAAGCTGCTTTGCTATACAGCTTTGTTTCTCTGTGAAGTATTTGCCACCAGTATCCCTGTACATACACAAGTTTAAAATGTGTTCTTAAATTAATTGTTGCTAATTATGTTGCCAAGTCCCAGCTTTTCCTGGAACTCAGGAAAAAAAGGAGAGTTTAT